TTGCATGCGTGCGCGCGATTTCTTACTTTACGACCCCTCGTTTATCCCGTCCCCGTGGAATGCGCGAAACTAAGACAAACGACGTGAAAAGTGCCCATGTTTTATATCAAATTATCCACCATCCGGGTCAAAAAATATACAGTGTCATTCACGAACAACACCCTGTAGAATCTCATTAGTTGTATATTCGAAGCATCATTCATTAATTTGTTAAGCTAGGCTGAAAACCGACCGAAATGTGCATTTCGTGTTCGTGGCTTCTACCGGGAGTAGTCGTGACTCCTGACGCATGGCTGAACCGGCGCCTCCACCACCGGCGGTTCTTACGCAAGATGCATTTGTCATATTCCTGATTAAGGCGGCGCAGAAGTGCCACAACCGAACTTCCGCACGTACACCGCGCATTAATTCGCCTAGAATACAATCGGAGCAACAATACGATGAGTACACACGTACACCCACACACAACACACAACTAGCGCCATCTGTAGTCGACGAGTCCCCAAACAAACACAACTATTTTTGTGTAGCGTTGCGTGCATTTTAAGCACCGATTTAGCTGCGCGCTATGTTTGCATGCCTCGGAACAAATTCTATGCAGACATTCCTCATGAAATTCATAATATGTCAAGAGTAGCAGAAGCAGACGCAAAAAGAAAACGCCAAGTCGTTGTGCAAGCGGCGTTCGAGTGTGCGTGCCGCGCCGTCATTATCCTTCGCTTTTCCGTAAGTTCAACTCACGCCACAAAACAGGAATTCCACGTCGGTAGTCAACATCATAGAGGTACCTACCTACCTACTACCGAAGATGGTAGTATTTATTTTGACGGTAATTTAAATATATCGACAAATAAACGGGGTCAGTTATCACGCGCGATATCGCTGCTTTTAATCAATTTTCTCCTTTTTGAAGTCGCGATCTACATGTGAGACTAGGCTAATCTTGCGCGGCTGATGAAGGAACATGCAAAGTGAACATTAATGGCCCCACACATGAATTATGGACTCACTCTAAATTGATTAATACACTCACGGGTATTACGCATGCGCGATAGCGCACATTTAAAGAGGCGGAGCGTAACACGCTAATCAAAACTTATTAAGCGCTACAAATCACATTAATTAATTACGAGCAATTGTTTATTCTCGCACACAAAAAAAAGAGCTTTGTGAAAGCTTATATTCATCGCCGATGCACTACACCACCCACCGTACGGAGTTTAATGCTTGATTAATAATACCTGCGCAAAAACGCGAGCGGAAAACTTCTCGCGTACGCCACTCGCACCCCCTTCGCGCGCGCGCACGGATGTTATATGGGCAGCTAATAGAAAAATAATTGAAAAAGTTAAATCGGCATTCTAAAGTACCAGTATTACGCGCGGGCGTAACAAAAACGAGTTTAAAAATAACTTAGTACCTCTCGTGTGCGCGGTAAGTAAATAAGCGGACTTAGAACTTGCCAACTCGGAAAAACTTGGCCCACAACGCGCAAATTAATTATTCATTTCGACGCGCCAACCCCTTTCGCGTTTTTCCACGTTTTGCATAAACAGTGCGCTGGGCGCGCGCGCCCCGGCGTGTGTCATCATCGACGGCGCCTCCACCACCACTTGCATCGATTAATCTGCATCGATGCACGCCGTGTCTTACGCAAAAAATCGCACCGAGCATAAATTATTAATGAACCGTCGGCGACACGTTAAGTTATGGGGACAAAGCTTCGATCGGTATCAGTAAATGTGACACTAAATTAGACGCCGCACAACTTTCCGCCAACTTTCCGGCAAAGTGGAGGCGCTGGTGGAGGCGCCGGGCGAACTATCCTCCGCCCGACAGCGTGCCGCGATTGCAAAAACGTTGTTGCCATAAATTAATGCGCTCGGGTGTTTAGCTTAATTAGTGATTAATGAAATATCGATGCGCGTGTATGCGGTTGGCTCACCTAATAGCCACCCCCGATGGCTTTATCCGTTATCCCCAAACTTCCGCCCGTAATCCGTAGTAAATTGCACAAAAACTTGCATCGTCTCCTAATGAATTACACGAAACTTTTATTGCGTTAGTTTTTTAAAATTTAATTTAAATATTAATCACGCCCTCTGGTGGTGTGTAGCTAACGGATGTTTAATACCAATACTAAAGTATGTATATATACGCCGGTGTATTGAAGTGCGTCGCTGGAAAGTTTAATTGAACGCGCCGACGGCAATCAGTCAACATGGCGACGCCAAGAACGCCGCAGCCGCCACCGCCGATCACTTCCGCTTTCGTTATCTAGGTGGTGTGTTTGTTTAAAATGCGCGGCGTTCGACGTGAACGCGGCGTGTAAGTGCCGCGGCCGGTGATTGATTGCGCCGAATTTATTACCGATACATCCGTCGAGCGCGAGAGATGTGTGTGCACCGCGCGGCGCGCGCATAACTAATAATTAATTGTCGCGTTTAATCAAACTAACGGCGGCGGCGTTATTGCGAAGTTGCGAAGTTTGGCGAAGCCGCAAGCGCGAACTTCGCCGGGGATTGATGAACCGCGCGCGGAAAACAAATAAACGAGTGCGCCACGATCAACAAACGACCTGCGCTGGAGTGTGTGCCAATCAGTGCAAATAATGCAAATAATGGCAAGTTTTAATTGGTAGCTAGGTATACGCTTGCTTTTGTGCAACAATTTTTAGTTTATTTACACGCGCGCATGCAGAAAAAATAAAAATAAATAAACGCGAAAAGTTGCGACAGTTTTTGCTAAACGCGTATTTGGAATGCAATCCCAACACTAATTACATGCGCAATTAGCGCAATTACGCATATCACTGAAGTGTCCGCTTACCAATGAGCATGAGAGCTCATTTGAAGGCTCGCAAAACAAAATACTCATTTGTTTCGGCCGGCAATTCGTTGTGAAGCGTGAACGGACCGCTGGAAATTACGAATTTTCCCGGCTCGCAACACAGCAGCATCGGCAATCGCAGGAGATTCTGTCACTCGCGCAAAGTTTTCCGGGGTGTTCGCCGGCGCTAACCGCCCGCTTTGATTAATGACGTTTAGTTTCCCTCGCCGAGATCAAGCAGTTGCACTGTTGTGTCCGGAAAATGTCAAAATTTAAGAATCGTATGTCATGTTTACTCGCCAAACTTTTCACCCACGCAAATAAAATGAAATATTGTGTTCATATTCCATAATTACTTATTTGAATATACAAAAAAACCATCAGCAGTGCGCCGGCGTGGTAGCGCTCAAAAGTTTTCCGCCCCGGAAAATATAAATTCGCCGCGCTCCAGTTTAATGATTGAATTTTATACCGCAAATATCTCATGCTCGTCGGCGGTTGGGCAATATACGGATCTCGTATATATTAAAGTTGTAAAATTATTCCGGGCCAATTTTATTACCGTTTTATTAGCTGCGCACTGTTGTGCAGCCCGGAATAGTACACCACACTGACAAGAGAAAGTGCGGACGAGCTCATCTGCCGGAATTACTCGCCATATTATATTTCCAACGGCGTGGAAAGTGCATGTTGACATGTGGCGCCATCTGAACGCGCATAGTTCCGAAATGTTTAAAGCACTAATCGAAAATGCCAACTAACGCGCCGAATAGCGCCGAAAAGTGTTGCGTACATGTTTGGCCAACGCTGTGGGCATTCATCGGCGGCATTGAAAGCGCACATCAAGTGCTTCGTCTTCGGCTGAAAAGCGGCGCGTAAATCTCGCCGACGCATAAAGCCGAGCGGCGCGCAAAGACTGAAAGCAAGTAATAATGCGAAATTGTAAAATAGAGAAAAGTAAAGTTCGGCGCGAGAGGGTAATGCGAAGTTGTGATGCCGAACGCCGTTCGGGCGCGCGAGATTAAAGATTCAGGCTTTCATTCGGGCGCGCGCTAAACGCTCGAAAGAAAGGGCGCGAGGCGGCACAAAGCGGCGGCGGCGGCGGCGGGCTGTGTTCGAAAGTTAAAAGAGGGTTGGAAGTTGAACCACTAAAAGGCCGCGTAAAACACAACAATTACATTATGCATTATTATATAAGAGTTTTTCTTCTTCCTCAGCGCCCCGAAGAAAAGTTGCGCGAATTTTAATTCGTAAGCGAAAGAAGCAAGCACGAAAAAAAAAGAAGAACAACCAACCCGGCGAGTTTCGATGGGACTTAGGTGCACTCGTGTCGGTTGCAGGCTTTGTTCAATTATGGATATTAACAATTAACAATAACATCGTTTTCGCCGCTGCATTGTCTTGCGCCGGCGCGCGAAATAGTTTAGAAATTTAATTACTGTCAAAAATGAATTGTTCAAGAACATTACAACTCTTGCCGCATTACACATCACGAGTGGAAGAGCATTATCAAAACAATGATCTTTTAATTCGTTTAATTAATAGTCAGATGATTCGTTCGCAGCGATATAATGAGAATTTAATTAAATAAGGTTTTAACTTTCATCTTCGTTTTGAAATAATTTATGTTTAATGGCGTGCGGCGCTGCAGTGAAGTGCTGGCTGGCAACAAAACGCCGCTTGAAATGCCACAAAATATAAATAGAAAGCGAATTGGAATCGAGTGCAATGCGTTCGGTTTCATCTTCAAAGAACTTGACGAAATTATTGAAACATGAAGCAATAAACTCGCTCACTGTTTGCGAAAAATAAGCGCACTGCGTCGGCGCACTAGTGCAGGTCGTGATCAAAGAGGAAAGTAGAATAGAATTTTGCTTCTTTGACGAAACATGAAATTGTAATTCATCAATGCGCTCGTATCTTATTGTCGTATGAAGGATTTCCGCTCCGCTGTCATGAAAATTATCGACACACAGGAAGTGACTTACGCACGACACGATTATGATTACGACTAGTGATGTAGAAGAGAGCGAGTGTTATGTATTATGTAAGGCAGGCGGCGATAAAAAAATGACGAATCTTCACGATATATTCGCTCCTAATCGAAATATTCAAACATGACCCGCGTTGCCTTTTGTTGCGAAACATAAATGTTAACAATAACAACTCACCGTTTCGTTAATTTCCCCCTTGGACGATGCACACGCGAACGCGTCTCTTCGGCGGCATTTGCGCTCGTACGCTCGTCGACCTTCTGCAAATGGAAAATTGTCAACAATTAGCCAACAGCAAACAATATACGCAAACGTCGTCAAATCGTTGATTGCACAATCAAGAAGCGACTGCGAAATCGACCTAACCTCAATCGCCTCAAACATAACCTCAATTGCGGGCGCGCTATCAGCGATAATTCGTTGAAATTCGCTCTGCGGTATTGACGATGCATTGCGATTCGAAAAATCACATCATTATACGCGAACAATGCGCGCTTCCAACACGTTCCTGCATTTTTTCTTAACTAAATCGGGCGCAGCTCATTCTTTTCCGCGATTCTCAGCATTTCAATCATCATTTTTTCATATTCGTACCTCACGTCTCTCTCGATATTATAAAAGTTCATACAACTAGCCCGGCAGAAACACGCTCCATCGGTGTGTGTGTGTGTACAAAAAAAACTAAAAAAAAACATAAAACGTTTTTGCCTGTTAGCCACAGTTGAACCGGCGATACCTGCTGCATGCGGATTCGTAGTATATTCAAATCACAAATGAAATTGTGAACGCACACATTAATAAGAAGCAACTATCAATTCCTAGTCCGCCGGCGGTGTTGCATTGTTGCTGAAATTCGAACGCGCAATTGTAATAAAATAACTCGCGGTTATTTGAATTTGTTTAGCCGTCGCGTGCAATTGCGGCAAATGCATTGCGCGCGCCTTACATTTTGTTCAAACTCGCAATGAATAATTTTTATCGTGCCGTAAAATTCGGCGCACTGGTGCTGATAATTCGCAATATTTAATGAGCGCAGCCGGGCGCTGCGCACGTTTACTGTTATTTGCTTTGATCAACCGAAAATGAATGTCATAAACTTTCGTCGTACAGGTGTCGTGTTGTGGTGTGGGTGTTGCGACACGTAACCAACGTGAAATTTTCGCGGGTTAACGCATAGCTTTATTGTTCATCGACATATCAATTATTACATTGTGCATAGATTAGTGTGTCGTGTCTCCGACCACGGAACAACATGTTTACGCGATTGTTAACACGCCGAAATAAGAAAATCTATATATATAAAAATGAATTGTTGTTCGTTAGTCTCGCTAAAACTCGAGAACGGCTGAACGGATTTATCTTATCTTGGTCTTGAATTATTCGTGGAGGTCTAGGGAAGGTTTAAAAAGTGAGAAAAATTCGAATAATTGCCGGGAAAATCCTCAAAACAGCTCTTTTCTATAGAATAAAATTTGACATTGAGATTCAATCATAGTTATAGTTAAATAGTTGAATTCAAGATGGCGCGCTGAAGTGCATTATTGACAAAACTTTATATAATTAATTTGTTTAAATTAAAATTGCTAATCTTATTGATAGAATTGACTCTTACTACGAGTATGTCTAGAACAAGACAGTAAAAACGAATTACATTTTTATTAAACACTGCCGGAACGAAGTCGCGGGCAACAGCTAGTATGAAATATTTATTGTATTATAAGAATTCTCTGAGTATTTAAGACGCGTTTTTCGTCTCAAGTGTAGAAGATCATGATCGTTCGCATGCCGCATGCCACTTAACTCCGAAAGCCGTATTTTTCTTCGCGGTCGACGCAGAGACGAAGGCCGAAAACGTCGCTGCTCGTCCCGTTCGATCGTTTATTGCCCGTAGAAACGGCGCAAAAAGCCGGCCGGACGAGATGGAACGACCAAGATCATTAATACGCGCCGCGCAGGTTTTCGCAGAGAGGTCAATGATTCAATCGCCGAGATAGGCGATCTCCGGCGGCCTGCATTGATGCATCGAAATTAAATTCGCGCAAACAACAGCTTATGATCATCTAAACTTTCTTCGCAACTCACATAAAGCGCGCGCGGCATAAATGCGGTTTGGTTAATGTCTTAAGCAATGAAAACTACTCGAATACATGAAATTATCCGGCACATTAAAAAATTATCTGCATTGTGGAAATATTCGGCACGGCGCAAAGAAAAAAAATCCCAATGCGAAAAACGCGACAGAGATGGCGGAAAGGTTTTTAAATCTAATTAACATGCGACCGTCCGGAAAAGTTGCAGCACATTTAATTAAATCCGATTACGAACGAATGCACTCACCCCCCACCTCTCCATGTTTCTATTCCATTTTGCTTTATTCCTTTTTAATTTCGGTTTTATTTTGCTTCAAAAATTCCTCATTTATTTTAATTTTATTTATGCGTTACATCAGTTTTAAAAGGGTTGCGAACCCCGCCCGAGGCCGACGAAAAAATTAAGTGCTCGAAGAAAACACGAAATCTACATTTCTCGCCATGCTGCTGCAACGGTTGAAAAGTTGTTTACCTTAATTAATTATTAATAAGCGATATATCCATCCAGCGCAGTAGTTGATTTGTCAACCACACAAATAAATTCCACGATTGCTTCACATCATATCATGTAAACAGTATGTAAATCACAAAAAAATCTCAAATTTTAATTCAATTCACTTCTTCACAGTAGCACGATGGGGATTCCCGTCGCTCGATCTAACTGTCGGACAGGTTGATCAACGTTTTGACGTAATGCGATGCAAAGTGAAGTAATCTGCAGAGTAACGCCGTTCAATTCCGCGCTGGCAAGCTTCTCGCGCGCGCGCGTCCAAGAAGTCGAAGACACTTGAAACTTGATGTGGAAGTCGTTCAAGTCGCCCGAGTTGAAGTAACGTTAGTTTAATTATGTTTGTATCGCAACAACTTGTCCGTACAGCGTGTGAGTGATGAAGATTTCACGGAAACACACCAGGTTAAAAACTTGGAACAACAATCGTAATTATTGATATGTTGGTGTATGACGGGCGCGCACCTGTCGGCGAAGAAAACCAGCGAGTTTCGGCGCGCGCGACGACAGGCGTCGATTGACTGCTGCTACGCGACTTCGCCGACTGTTGTGTTTGCGCCGCGAACCGGCCCGCCGGAGAGAAGTGGAAAAAAACATTCCTGCAGCATCGCGGGCCGCGGACGCGGCCGGACCGGCGAAGAGCGCGGCTCCCAGAACCATCAGCAGCACAAACAACACACACACACACGCTAAGAAAACGACGAAGAAGAGAAAAAAAAGCGCGCGCCTGGAAACCTGTAAAACTCTCCGAGTGGGAATTCAATGCGTTCGGTCGGTTAATTAGGTTCGAAAACAAAGGCGGAACACATTATTTATTCCATCTTAAATTTCAGACTTAGAACATTTCAATTCCGGTAACTGTAATTAACACGTCAAATCGCGATTCGCAATTAAAATATCATTCGGTGGAGTTTTAATCGGTTTAATCGCACGATTGCACCGCAAGACGCCCGATAATTACACAAATTGCGCGCGTATTTGCATATAATTTTGTTCTAATGCGCGTTAGTACAACACTGCAGCAAGTAATGTGAGGTGATGTAGATTGATGCAATTATTATATTAAAACGCCTGACCTTGAATACGTGTATCGCGGCAATGTTTTTCTTCTTTGTGCCCGGCCTCGCAGCACATTGAATAAAAATAAATTTTTTATGTTTCCCGTGTTGTGAGTACTCGCACCGGCCGAAACTCCGAACGGCTGCAATTTACTTATTATGACATTTACGCCCGTAATGAATTTAATTCTTGATCAATTGGCGACGACCACAAATCACCTTCACTCGCCGCGCAAATTGTGTCAATCAAACGAATGTCTCAATCCAATTACGCCAAACTTTCAGCCGAGGCAAACAACCTGGTAATCGACCACAAACTTCGGTGTAAATAAATTTCAACTGCCGAAAACTACTAGCAAGCAGCAAGATGTTCCGCTGGAGATAAACTCATTTTAGTGTTCGGAGTGTGCGCGTAATGCGCGGCGTAATGCGACGCGCGTGTTTTCGAAATTTTCGACGTTCGCGCGAGAAGAATTCGTCGCCGGGCCGCAGTGAAGTGAAAGTCATACACGGTTGGGTCATGCACACGCATGGAAATACTCACCGGCCGTTCGAATTGTCGGCTGTCGCGAAGGAGTGCGCGGGGCGAAGTGCACATACCGATCGACGCTGGGCCTGGTAATCGTTCTCATGACCAACTTACGCCAAGCATGCGACATGCATAAATTACACGTTTATGTTGATTCCCTGCTTGTAAATCGATGACATCGGAAAATGATTATTTCAATAATCAAAGCAAAAAGAAAAAAGACTTTTCGTGTAATAATTCATGAAAGTCATATTGAAAGTCACTTAAGTCTTAAAAACCACCGTTAACATTTGAAAAGTTCACTGTAATTACAAACGCGTGCACATCTACGCGAAACGAAGCAAAGAAAAAAAAATTCGGTGCGTCGATCAGCATCGATAAGGTTCGAGCGTGACGGCGTCCGCAATTTCTAAATGTTAATTGCGTTCGGTTTTTTTCGGCTTGATGTCATTCGATTTGCATTAAACGTATGCAAAGGCACGCGGAGAAGATCCTGTTATTGAAGCGCTCGTAAAAGTCAAAACTTCGTATCTCTTCTCGGCTGGCAAGGTCGTTCGCTCCGTGCACACACACGTTTCTTTCTTCTCAACATCAGATCAAAGGCAAAAAAAAAACATGCGCTAAACGATGTTACTGCTCATCTTCTCACACACACGCGCTAACGGTTAATTTTTAATTTAAATTAAAAGAATTACGCTGTTTTTTATCATCATTTATCATCGTTCGCGCCTTGCAGATTTGTCTAATTAGCATGCGCAGCAATTAAGCGCTTTAAGTAGCCATGACGTCACTTTGTTTCCATATGAAAAAAAAAACATTTTTTTGTGGTTGTAATTGCGGTACACATGTTTTACAATTTCGCACTTGCCGATAAGACGCTAATTAAATCTTGTCATTGTTCTTGTCAATGACCCAGGCTGAACAATTAATTAAAAAAGAATCTCGCCGGCTGATAACGCCAGTTACCAAACCGCCACCCAGCCCAATGACAGATTAATTAATGAATATCTGCGATGAATAAATGTGTTACGAGATGATGATGATGGCGTTTTACTTTCTAGTATCGATCAGTCGT